AAAAAAAAAAACCAAAATTGAATATTAAATGAATCATTCAATCAATCAAAGGCGGGGTGGGGCGACCCCGCCCCCACCAATCAATCAATCAATCAGCGAAAAAAAAAAAAACGTTCATTTTTTTTCTTCATTTCTCCTCGTAATATAGCCCAACCCCCCCAATCAAGAATTGTTTTTTTTTCATTTTTTTTTTTGTGTGAGGGGGTGTGGCCGGCGTTGCGCCGCCCCATGGCGCTTCCCGAATCCCCAACCCCCTTCCCCTTTGGCCGCCACGTGGCGTCAAAGCCGCGCGTCCGCGGGGTCAGCGGACTGGCCGCGTCCACGGATTCGGCCGCGCTTGGCCGCCGCCGAGGGGGATTCATTGGAGATAATTCCATTCAGATTCAATAACACCACCTCTTTCTTTTTTATCACAACAAGTAAACAATTAGTTCAACAACCAAACTCAACGAAACTATCTTAGACTTAGTATTGAGAAACAAATTGAGATTCAAAGAGATTAAGACTTTTTAAGAGTCTCACAGTTGGAAATCGAAATTAGACAATTAGGATGAAACTTCGATTTTCAAGATAGGAGGATAGTTATGATACTAGAGATTAAGACTTTTTATGAATCTCACAGTTGGAAATCGAAATTAGAATCACAATTAGCCTGAAATCACACTTGAGAATCACAATTTTGATATCAGAGTTTAAACTCTGATTTGAGAATATCAGTATCAGGAAAAAACCAAGAAATTCAAACCTCAGGTTGGGATAGGGAAGATGTAAAATCAATGAAGGGAAGGAAAATTAAAAGTAATCTAAGGGTTTGAAATCCACCGTGAGCAAGAAAATCGTAGGGTATAGACATCCAAGAATCACGAACTACTCTACGGGAAGCTCATCGCTCTACCGCTCTTCCTTCTTCCACAACTGGCCTCCACCCATCTCCATTACCCCTCTCCCCTTACCACGAAACTTACCCCCCACACCTTTTCAAGGGAGAACCGATCCCCTCCCATTGGAAGCAGAAGGCCACCAGGCCGAGCACAAGGCTCGTCAGGATCGTCGTCGTTGGATCTGCCAACAACACCTCGCGGGGGTTCCGATCTAGCAAGAAGGAGGCAGAGATAAAGCAGACGTAGACAGAAAAAGCATTCGAGGAAAGATAACCATAACAAGTTGAGGTTAGGATAAGGAAGGGCGAACCAAACAGAATCATGCTATTCCCCTACCACAATCCAGCCCTCCCGCCCTTATCACAGTCTCCGCCCCACCCCATGCACGAAATCAGCTAATCTATGCTGATCCTAAGATGCTTCCTCATCTTTCTTTCTTTTTTTTCTTTTTTTTTTTTTTCTTTTTTTTTTTTTTGGCAAACTCAGGGAGGCTCCATCTATTGGTGGGGAGCAGCACCTGCTGGAAAGCAGGTCCAGCGTCCCTCAACATTTTCGGAAGGGGCATTTGTAAACAAAGGTTATGAAACCGTGCCACATGTCCATCCTAATTTACACATGAAAGCACACCTAATCCGAATCACGCTGGCACACTTTATCAATTCGATGGTCAGCATTGACTGCCCTCAACCGAGGGGATTAACTGGCCATCTCAATCTAGCATCCCACCCCCAGACTGAATCTCTCATCATCCTCAGAATCGCTCTTGCAGTACCCGAAGAGGAGGGGCTTCCAGAGTGAGGCTTTAGGGAATCAATTATAGCAGAACCATTGGACAGAGTCCGGTTCCCCCATTGCCGTTTATTATGTAGGTTTACATTGTCCCACAACCCCCCATGATCCTCTTAATCTACGAAACCACTCAAGTGGGGGGGCGCGGCTTACACAGGTTATCTAGATTAACAGCCACCCGCTAAGTTAGTCAATAAAAAACGCGGTCAATCATGCAGGCGGCCTTAGTGCCAATCGTCGTTTCTCCTCCTGCCCCACCAACCAATCACACAAGCAACGCTGATGCCACCCTCAGTGCGCTGCCTGATCTAACACTTGGCACAATCGTAAATTGCACCCGATCGCAACAGAGTGAAAATCACCAGCAGCGATTGGCGAGGCAGCGAGAAAAGGTCTGAATGAACCACAGTTGTCCTGTCGCCACGTGGCCAGGACAGGAAGCAACGATCCAGCTTTGCATCTTTCCCTATCCCACCCCCTCTCGCCACCAACCCACTCCTCGCGCCCACACCCTGCCTTCCCGTTGCAGATCGACCCAATTCGTCATCGCCTCTCGCCCATCCCCAATCGCACTCACCGCCTCCCAATCGGTGGCGTTTCTATTACCGTTGATATTGTTATTTTTGCTGAAGTCATTGTAGGGACGAAGATCCGGACCTTCACCCCCCCTTACCACCCTTCCACCCCGATCCCGTGGAATCGGCGCAGAGCTTTTTCGACCGTACGAGCGGCGCCAGACACGCATGAACATGCACCGACTCCTCCCCTCTGCATGAGGCTCACCTCCACCCAGCATGGCTGGGATCGTGGGGGAAGCCTGCTGCATGCTGTGAATGCCCCCGTCCGAATCGTTGTTACAGATGTTGTCGGCGACCCGGATGATGCGAACGTCATGGTCTTGTTCACGAAAATCTCCGTCCTAGCCATTATCATTTTTGTAGTCGTTGTTGCTGTTATTGTTGTTGTTGTTATCATTGTTACCGGTGTCATTGTTGTTCTTGCCATTGCTGTTGACGGCGCCGATGAGCACAATCGCGGTGAGATTGTCAATGTTTGCACTGACGATGTTGATACCATCTTCGGCGACAAGGTTGATGCAGCGGTCCTCCAGCGCAGCACAAAGGTCTTGCTCCTCCTCAAGCACCTCGTAGAACTGCTGCATGAAGTCGTCCAGACGTGGCCAGTCAACGAATGAACACAGATGGGGGGGCGGTCCCTCCTCCAACCCCCATGTGATCTCCAGAAGACGCTGTCGCTCGCTCAGAATCCACGATAACGACGGGACACTCGTTACTGCCACCGCCGATCGCAGTTTTGCCACCACCTGGCTTACACGCACCCTGTCCACTTGGACGGTAGTAAGCCACGCATCAGCCTCCAATTCACCTGAACTCGCCATCGCCGAGCACCCTCTATTCTCACCTCTTCGTGTACTATCACACCCCACGTCACACACCCCTACGCACACCTAGCCACGCCCCTCCTAACCGATCTTGCCCTCCCAGAGAGGACCAGAGATAACGCGCCACGTGGCATGCTACTGATCGGCGCAGAGGCCACGTCAGCAACCCTGACGTGTCGCACAATGAGCAGGCCGGGCCGTGCCGGCCGGTCCCGACGGGGGACCAGGGTGCAGGCGGTCCGTAACGCAGTCTCTAACGCAGTCTCTAACGCAGTCTCTAACGCAGCGCCCTACCGAATGTGCTGTCCTCATCTCCATGATCCCCACTCATGTTGTTTACCTCCCTTATTGTGATGACAAGCCCCCCGCAGTAGAATCGCATCGAACAGAACGGCATGTAAAACCCATCGCTTCCAGCAGATGCCCCCAGCGCGCTCGCCGATCGATCACCACGTGAAGTGGCCGAGATGAGGAGTAGCCAGGGCAATGTCGTCATCTGCACCATACACCACAACGACCCATGCCCCCCCCGGTTCACAACGCCACCCAACTGCAACACCTCATAACCACACAACCCTAAACGCGCCGCCCACCGCAAGCACCATCGCGTATGACACTCCGCCCGCTCTCACATCGCGCTCTCGGCGCCAGTCCGGTCGTCTTACACTAGCGGGGCGCAGCGCTCCCGGCAGCGCTGCGCCCCAGCCCAGATTTCCCTGAGCGGGGAGCCTACGTTACAAGGTTAGATAGGGGGGGCCTATGTCACATTGTGCATGTTCTTGAGCTCCTTATCCCGTTGGGACTGCATGTGATTCCCGACCCTTATTGGAACTCCATTATGATGACTGCACCCCCTATCAGGAATTGCAGACTGTCATTCTTGACTCTCCCCTCCGTCGCCTAATGCTATTGTTCCTTTGTCATGGCATGGTTTGGATGCCTTGGTGGAATCGGAAATCGGGGAGGGGAGGGAGAATTAGTAGTTATAGTAGTCCTAGCTGTATTTGGCATTTTTCTAAAGTATTCGTCAGGCATCACAGAGAGCTAGGATTAAATGCTCATTTCTGGCGCCCAACTCTGGGTAAAGAGGCTCAAGCCTAGTCTTTGTCTGCATTTCTTCATATTGCAAAAGGGATGCTGGACCCGTTTTCCAGCAGGTGCAGCTCCCCACCAATAGATGGAGTGACCCATATAAACCATAGTAGGGAGGGCTGCTCTTATCACCTTGCCTACCATGGTTTACTGAGTCTTTAATTAAAAAAAAAAAAAAAAAAA